TACTTCAGTGAAAGACTGAGTTGAGATATTTCACTGCAGTGAACATAACACTTTGACGGAACTATTGTCTCCATTTAAGTAAGTGTCTGGCCCGATTAGAGCTAAAAAATAATTTTCCAGTAGACAACAAGACAAAATAGGTCTTTGAAAGGCATTTAGAAGTGATGCCGATAAGGAAGAGAATATAAGGATGTCAACTTCTTTATTATGAGGAACACAACGTTTCGGAGTATATGCTTACTCCTTCATCAGGTGAATGAATGCCATGAGACAGAGAGCATATATATGTACATGTAAGGACAACAAAATTAATAAGATAACAAAAGGTGGAAAGTAACAAATGGTAGAAGCTAACAAAGGAAGACAACAGATGATTGGCGCTGATAGTAGATTAGCAATAGACAACGGAAGCCAACCAAAGTTATCATAGATAAGTAATTGGTAATGGACACTGGGCAAACGGGGGGGGGGGGGGGCGGGGGAGGGGGGGTAATTAGCACTGATAGGTGAAAGAATGGACATAGCAAGTGGCAAATTGAAGACAGTCAGGTAATTAGCCCAACAAAATGAAACTTATCAATTAAATAGGAGTGACGGGTGAAATGAGATATTATTACTTCCACAACATATTATTATTATCTACAAGTGGAAATGTCACGTGATGAGAGAAACAGGATATTTCAGAAATATCCATAATTTCTCCAAAATGAAAAATGAGAGTCTCTTGCTCTATGCCTTAGAATTATTGCAACAGCATACATGTATATTTGAGTCGGGAATTCAGGGTTTATTCACCTTGTCAACTGACGTAATGATGTTTCAAATATTAACCTTAATAAGATGTGCACAAAATGAGTGAGTGAGTTGGGTTTAACAGTATTCCAGTTATATCACGGTGTGTCAGCTTAATGTTGGAGGAAAGCCCGAAGTGATGCAGGTCTCAGACGTTTACCACTTCGGTGAAATCCACGAGCACGGGTATAGTGCTGACAAACCTAGAAACATAATCGGGGCGAACAGAGATTCGAACCAACAATCATAGGTTTCTGGCGTGCCCAAGGGACGCAACTCTGCACAGCGAATCGCGGCGCCTTAGACGACTGGGCCACCAGTGCCCCCAGGTGCACATAGAATCTGTTGTACGATACTTACCATTGTGTGTTGAGGTACTCACCTACATTGATGAGGGCGTTGTGCAGAACCTGAGCTGGCTTCACGTTGCTTAGAGGAGGGAATGTTGGACAGATTGTTGAAGGGACCATCGTAGTCTGTGGAGTTGTGACAGTAGGGGTAGTGGATGGAGTTGTTGTTGGCATTGTAGGTGCAGTTGTGGGCGTAGTAGTAGGTGTGGTAGTCATTGTGCTGGTTGAAGTAATGGTTGATGAAGGCGTGGTTGTCATTGTTGTGGTTGAAGTAATGGTTGATGAAGGCGTGGTTGGAGGTAAAGTTGGGAGAATATCTGATAGCCAGTAAACCAAAGTATATTTAAAATATTGAAACTATTGTAACCAAATTGTACATTTGTTTAATGTATAGGCGTGCAGATGCATAGATATAAAATTATATTGTTCACATTGATTTATGAATGTTTGGACTTTAAGGGAATAGCTGTTCCGTGATGGTGGTGTAACCTAGTTGACAAATCATTGCTTCATCACGATGGTCCAGGTTCGATTCCTCACATTGGTTGCACCCTCTTGGCATCCCCTGCTCATGCCGAGAACGCTGCTGGTGTTGGTGTAAAAACACCCCCACTTTCCACTTCTCACAATGGTGAATTAGCATTCAAATTAACTGTGTACAAAGGGAGCAAGCATTTGTATGTATACCTGTAGGGCAGATGACATTACAGAAGCTACTGTTGCAGCAGTTGAAGCAGGGGTCAAACATGGCGCCACCGGTGTGGTGTCTGTTTTCCTTGAATGTCTCGCATTGCTGAAGAGGAAGCACACGCTGACTGATTTGTACGTCATCAACATGTCATATTGATGAAGAGGAAGATCATTCTTTGTTTGTTTGTTTGTTTGTTTGTTTGATTGTTGTTTAACCCTGCACTCAGCAATATTGCAGCTATATGACGTCGGTCTGTAAATAATCGACTCTGGGCCAGAAAATCCAGTGATTGTCATCATGAGCATCGATCCACGCAATTGGGATACGATGACATGTATCAACCAGTTCAGCGAGCCTGACCACCCGATCCCGTTAGTCGCCTCTCACAACAAGAAGCACATTCTGACTGGTTTGTACACCAGCAATATGTCACATTGCTGAATGAGAAGCGCATTCTGACTGATTTGTGCTCCAACAACATGTCACATTGCTGAAGGCGAAGCACATTCTGACTGGTGTGTACATCTTGCGTTCTGGTTTCTCTGCAAACTACCTCCAGCAAGCTTTTGCCTCTCGCATAAAATAATGTTGAAGATTTTTATTCGATCTTCAATAGTTTGGATAGGGCACCCACGAGATTACCTGGAGCTAGTTTTCACAATGATTCCCTCCTTTAAATATGATAACACAAATACTCTCCTATCGAGTATGTATATTGTCTGATTGCGTGATTGTGTTCATCGGCACCCATGCTTTGAGTCACAAGACTGGATTGAACCATAATATACCACTCTACTCATCCAAACTCACAGTACTTTAATAACGTTTATTTTATATATATATATATATATATATATAAAAAGGTATATATATGCACCATACCCGTGCCCGTGGGTTTCACCGAAGTGGCAAACGTCTGAGGCCTGCATCACAGCGTTAAATCCAACTCACTCCCTCACTCGATAGTGAAGCCTATATGCTAATCTGTATATTCCCTTGACAAGATTCTTTGACGTAAATGCAATCGTTCCTCGGTCACAGCTGTGAAGTGCATGGTAATGTGTAGACATGTTTGTTGTGCTATGATCAATAGGAACTTCTTGCTCAGCACAACTGTTCAACAGTGTCCATCGCCTTAAGCAACATCATTTACTGCATAGTTGTGGGTTCGAATCTCGGTTCGCCCCGATGATGTTTCTAGGTTTGTCAGCACCATACTTGTCCTCGTGGGTTTCACCGAAGTGGTAAACGTCTGAGACCTGCATCATTTCGGGCTTTCCTCCCACACTAAGCTGACACGCCGTGATATAACTGGAATACTGTTTAAGAAGCTTTAACCCAACTCACTCACTCACTCTTCTGCATAGTTACAAAAACAATCAGATTGATACTGAAACTGACCCTCTGTCTTTCACATCCGCCGTTATAGAGAAGCTCAAACGTGTCTGTGACTCTTTCTTCGATGAAGCACACCTGTAGAGTAAGCACAGGTGAGACATAACTTTTGTTAGTGTTGAGGAACCAAAGGCAGATTACACTAGATTCCGTATAGGGATTACTTGGAGCCTTCAGTCATCAGACTATAGCAATGGAGATGCCATAGGTTCCACGTGTTATTTCATAAACAACTTTAAAAGAAAATCAGCTTGGATCTTGTACCCCATGGTGATTGTATTGATCGTAAGCAACATATGCTTGTTGTAAGGTGACTTAATGGAATGGGTATTCTGATTGGGTTTTTTTTATAGCTCTTATTTACAAGTCATCGTAGAATAAGTAGGGTGTTAAACAAGGAACAAACAGGCAAGTTACCTCGTGCGGCTGACAGACTGCTACTGTATCACAGTTGGTCATGTTCATCATGTCGACACAGGCAGCACACTTCAGCAGTTGTGTATCTGGAAATAGGAAACTTTGGAACATCAACCTTATGTTCACCAATCCACTTCCAAGCATCCATGATCATGATGTCAATTACTGGATTGTCTGGTCCAGACTCGATTATTTACAGACCTCCGTCATTTAGCTGGAATAATGCTGAGTGCTGCGTTAAACAACAAACAAACACACTTCAAAGCAGCGGGCTTCAATCAGGCACGAACACGTATTATGTTTTCGTTATATAAAACTTGAGCAGACAAGAACACACTTATACCATGGCCTCAAGCACACAAACAGTTGGTTTGATGGTTGGTTTTTTAACGCCGCACTCAGCAATATTCCAGCTATATGACGGCGGTCTGTAAATAATAGATTCTGGACCACACAATCCACTAATTAATACCATGAGCATCGATCCACGCAATTTGGAACGATGACATGCATCAACCAAGTCAGCGAGCCTGACCACCCAATCCCGTTAGTAGCCTCTTACGACAAGCATAGTCGCCTTTTACGGCAAGCATGGGTTGCTGAAGACCTAATCTACCCCGGATCTTCTCGGGTCCAAACACACAAACAGGAGTTACAGTCACACGCTCGCCTTTTCGCGAACACCTGGTGTCATCACTACTTGATAGTGATTCATAAACACACGCTCATGATATAGTTGGATTCGTACAATCGAGTCTGTTTATGACAGAGATTTCTTTTGAATATGGAGAGGGTTTGGTAGCTTTTATTTACAGTAAACAACGGTTTTAGCGAACACGCTTATAAAGAACTGGCGGATATAACGAACTTACTTATTTGGTCCCGACTATTTGCTGTAGTTATTCTGTATATATGCTTATAACGAACAACGGTTATAACGAACTAAAATTAGTAGACCCCACGGGTTCGTTATATCCGTCAGTTCGTTAGAAGCGTGTTCGCTATAACCGTAGTTTACTGTACTGACATGGATAAGGTCCCATTAAATCCAGCCTTGATATGATAGGGTCGTATTTATGAAGCATGCACATAAAATAACTTCAAGACATTAATCCGAGGCCAAGAAGGCTTAGCAACATACACTGTTTTAAAGCAAATGCGAAACGAACCTACAGTGGTTTTGTGAGGATTCCCTTTTAAAAGTGAATTACAGTTTGTTTTTTGTTTTTTCCCCGTTTGGTCAGTGTCTCAGTAGGTAGCTTAAAATCTTTAGAGGAAGTTGGTCAGTATCTAACTTGGTGGATTATTGTCTTTGTGTTAACCTTGGCAATACTGCAAGGTCGAGGTCAACTCACCATGGCCTCCACAGAGGTAGTTGTTGCAGAAGTCGTCTTCACAGCACTCCTCACAGACGTGGACTGCAATGTTCTGTCGCCTCCTCCTCCCAGTTTTGGGCTGACCAGTTGTCTGAGACTGTCCTGCTAGTCTCTGTTGTATCTCTGCAGCACTGACGGTGAACCCGGCCGCTGAACAGATCTGAAGATGCAAGTCTACACTGAGAAGCAAAAGAAACTACACTTCTCAGCTGATTTTTTTCATGAGTTGTCAATTGAAAAGGTCTTAAGTCAGCGATATTTTATCCAAAAAAAGAACTGTTCTTGCGTTTTGTTAGCACTCAAAGAATAATTCTACATGGTTTCATTATTTTATTAATATCGTTTTATTTATAACTTTTAAAATTTAATAACAATTATCTCGCTTAATGTCTAGATGCTGATGGGTATCTTAGATATCTTTGAAAAATCAATAAATTTGCTTTTTTCGGCACAAATTTACAACATTTCATCTGGTTGTAAGTTCAGTTCTTACCCCACTCTTCACTGAACTACAGTAAAATACGTTTATAACGAACACGCTTATAACGAACTGACGGGTATTTCAAACTTAATTTTGGTCCCCGCGATTTGCTGTATAGATGTTGTATGTATGCTTATAACGAACTACGGTTATACGAGCTTAAATCAGTGGTCCATTTGAGTTAGTTATAACTATATAACCGTTTACTGTTAACTATTTTTATACAAAATAACCTGGCCGGAATGCAGGGTTGCAGGAATGAGTAATGCTTAAATAGTGTTATATGACAATGTAATTTGTTGATAACAATTATTATAATTGTATTACATTGTTTTGTTGAGATTCAGTGGAAATTTATTGCATTATATTTGGACAATGAGTTGTCAGGTATGTGGTACTATTTAATGTAAGCAGCGTCGAGGAAGTTATAATATTTAGATACTCGAATTATCTGTAAACTTCAAGAATAGCATGGATGGATATCAAGCGTTATAGAAGCATGTGGAATACTCTTGATGTTCGAGTGACACTGGAGTGGTCAAGCACTGTGTGGAAAGTGCTGGAGGATAGTTAGCCTATGTAAGTGGAGCGGGCTCGTGCCTGTCATCTCACATTTCATCTGACATAACATCAAGACCAGCTTTCGTGTGAAGATCACCTATCACCCCGGATTCCCAGCCGAGACTTGTCTAGAAAGCTTGACCACTGTTGTGGATAGGTGAATATTATTATCACTGAACGTTTTCCTATCACCACTGCCATCATATTTTGTATTATATACTGCCTTTGAATTGTGTACTACCACTCTATTGCATACTGTCATTGTAATTGCTGTGCAGTTATTTGTATTGATTTAACCTTGTTAAGTGTGTAATACAATTGTTGATTATATATCATTCATGTGTTGTTTGTTGGTTTCACACTAAATTCTTTTACGTACAGATTTCTGAGTTAATATGTTGATTCAATTTAGCAATCGACACATAACAGTAGACAAATTTTAATTTTAATTTCAATTTTCAACTACATACACCATACTGGGGGTGATATGAATTGACATGGTTCCAAACTTGGGAACTCCTTTTTGCACCTGTGTGTGTAATCTTTGTCCCAGGTTTACATTGGTAATTTCAATCTATGATATGGTTGTACCAAATGTTATATTTGGGATAACGCGTTCTGTTATGGAAGCCTCGGTGACTGAGTGGGTAAGAGTTAGAAGCACTTTGTATGAATGACATGGCTGATTGTGTGTCATCGTGGCTCGATTCTGTTTGTTGTTGTTTTTTTCTGGCGATAGAGTTGTACTACTTCATAGTGACCCACATTCGTAGGTGCCACAATTCGCTGTGCAGAGTTACGTCCCTTAGATAAGCCAGAAACCTATGATCTTGTTGCTTTACCCAAAACAGTATTTTATTTGTGTTTTGAAATCAAATATAAACGTACCGGCGCTAGTTTACAGCCGAGGTCAAAGAACACAAACCCGTTAGATGTCACATACTGCTCGGACATGCATATCTGAAGAAGAAAAAGGACATTAAATTAATTAAAGAAAACATTATCATGAGCGAGTAATACGAGTATTCGAGATGTATTTGTATGGCGTCAGTCAGTTAATAGAAGGGTTGGGGGCACGGGTGGCCCAGCCCTCTAAGGCGCCGCGATTCGCTGTGCAGAGTTGCGTCCTTTGGTCACGCCAGAAAACCTATGATTGTGGGTTCGAATCCCCGTTCGCCCCAATTATGTTTCTAGGTTTGTCAGCATCATACCCGTGCTCGTGGGTTTCACCGAAGTGGTAAACGTCTGAGACCTGCATCACTTCGAGCTTTCCTCCCACTTTAAGCTGAAACGCCAGGATATAACTGGAATACTGTTAAAAGTGGCGTTAAACCCAACTCACTCACTCACTCACTATAGAAGGGTTATGATGGTTACTACCTTGGTTGAGGCGCAAGCAAAACAAGATTCAGAACCACGAATTCGAGTGAGTTAAAATTACACGTCGCAACGGCATTATTTCAGCCATATAACGACGAAAACAAGATAATATTTGCACAACCACTAATTCGAACCCAAAGGGGTCGGTTGTGATTTGGAAAAAATAGACAAAGGCAATTATTATCATATTGTAACTTGTAACTGAAAATTGATAATAAATCTGACGAACTCTATCGCTTTACAGCTTGGTAGCTATCACCACTATGTACACAACACAGCACTTGTCAACGTAGCTTGGTACTGTTTTGATGCCTAAAGAGGAATACAAAAAACCATTAACGTCGGAGAAAAAACAATCTGGATTATCGGCCGAAACAGATTCTATTAGGCGTAAAAGGTAAAATAGCGATAAAAATTATATGAACGGATCACAATCTCATTAAAATCAGATCTTAGTTCTCGCTACCGCTAAACAAAGATCTGAGGACATTCCATTACGGGTCACGTCAGACCGACCTTGTGCGAACTTTGACTGACCAATGGAATGACCAATCAGAAGGCAGCTTTCTCGTGCTTTACGGCACAAATTTCAAATTGGCGACTACGCTTCGAAGCATATTTTGACAAATTCTCGATTACAAATTTGAAACCTGAACAAAAAACATTCTGGAATGACTAATAGATGGTCTAGATTGTAAGGATTCAGTCGTTAAACCCGTAACTATCGTTCGGAATACCCCATGTTAAAGTTTTCGAGATTGCATGGTTAGAAGTCACATTCCGACTGTCACTTTCATAATCTGGTAAGCGACGCACTGATTGGTCGGATGAAAGGTCGTTCTGACGTGCCCCCAAATGGGATGCCTTCAGATCTTTGAGAACTATTATAAGATCTGATTTTAATGAGATTGAATGGATCAGAAAATAAAACTTCAATTGTAACTAGTGGGGATTTAGTTGGAAATGAAAATAAACAGATACCATTATGCAAGGCACATTACAACATGTATAATCTGTTGTGATCAGTATATTCTGTTCTGTGTATGAACCAAGAAATATGTCGTGTATACCAGTACATATATAGTCACATACATGTTTCGGTCAGAGAAGGAATCATGTGCAGTCATGATCACTGATACAGGATAAATAATTTAGTGTAAGAAGAATTCAAAAATTGTTTCGTATAAGAAGATTGAACGTAGCTTTAGTGTCATGAGTAGGTATAATGTAAGGTTTTAAAATAAAAGCAACAAAACCCTTTCCATATTCATAAGAAATCTCCGTCATAACCACATACAAAGGCAAGTCAATTGTTCACCTTCAAAATCACGGGAACATATGGCACATGTCAAGATCGGGAATTGCATTGGACATCATTTTTGTCTGGTGCGTCAAATTTGGAAACATCCTCAACATTTCTACCATAAAACTTTTTGAAAGTTTCACTTAGGCCTTGAATGTTGTAACCGTTATCAAACAGCTTCTGAGCAAGAGTTGTGAAAAGTTGACATGGCTCGTGCTGCAGGAATATTGCTCGACATATAGGGAAAGTTGACTATTGGAATGTCATCCTTCTTGTCATTAAGTCTTAAGTGGGGAGCGTTTTGTCACTCTGAATATTTAGGCATAGATCTAAATATGAAACAGATGAAGCGGTCTCACCGGCATCCTTGATTTCTGGTGCAGGTGGGTAAATCAGTGGAAGGGAACTTGCTGTTTCATGGTTATTGAACGTATCAGATCATCGATATACTGAAGCTTAAGTTAAACTTCTTGGCCAAATTACCTTGTTTACTTTTTTTCAATCCGAGCAAACATTCCGATTCATATGCATAAAAAAACAGATCCACAAGAAGGGGAGCACAATTAGTGCCCATTGCGATGCCTACTACAGTAAAGTACGTTTATAATGAACACGCTTATAACGAACTGACGGATATAACGAACTGATTTTTTTGTCCCGAATATTTGCTATAGTTATGCTGTATATATGCTTATAACGAACTACGGTTATAACAAACTAAAGTTACTGGTCCCTTTGAGTTCGTTATAACCGTAGTTTACTGTACTTATCTAAATGTCTTACCCCCAAAGTTTAATTATGTAATTCACAAAAATACAGTATGTATAAGTTAGACTGAGAGGTTATTATGTAACGTATGTACAGTATCCATTATCTGGTATGAAAATATATTATGTAGCGCATCTATAGTCACTATAATAATATGCATGATCAGGGAATGATAAAAAACAAATTTCAGAATGTATGGGGTAATACAAAAATCCATAGATTATCAGATATAGAAAAACAAATTTAGGAAGAGGAAAATATAATGTGTAAAAAGATGTCATAGCCTATATGTTTGTCTGTCACTAATATAATATGCGAGGTCTTCTTTGAGAAAAAGAAAGTATTAAGTAGTGCATGCATAGTACATACTATAATACGCATAACCTGGTATGAAACTATCGTGTGGTATTATATAAAGGTGATGTTAGAGAGTGCATGTAATTGATAAAAGAAAGCTTTTCAGATGTTTGTCACAATGTGTAAAGGACGTATGTTTGTACCATCATTGTAGCTTGATTGGTTGGTTGGTTTGTTTGTTGTTTAACGCCTCACTCAGCAATATTCAGCTATATGACGGCGGTCTGTAAATAATCGAGTCTGGACCAGACAATCCAGTGATTAATATCATGAGCATCTATCCACGCAATTTGGATTGATGACATGCATCAACCAAGTCAGCGAGCCTGACCACCCTATCCCGTTAGTCGCCTTTTACGACAAGCATAGTCACCTTTTACGGCAAGCATGGGTTGCTGAAGACCTATTTTACCCCGGATCTTCACGGGTCCATTGAAGCTTGAGCCTGCATTGGTCTTACCTCGCCAGGAGAACACAGCACACTTGTTAAACAGTCGTCAGGGCGTGCAACTCGTTCGCACTTCAAACAATGAACTTGGGTCGATGGTGCTGTGAGGAGTAACAACATGAAAACCTATTTTAAAACGATTTCCTAAAAAATTTGTTTGGTTGGTTGGGAAATGTATTTGTGTGTTTCAGTGAGTGAGTATGGTTTTACGCCGTTTCTAGCAATATTCCAGCAATATCACGGCGGGGGACACCAGAAATTGGCTTCACACATTGTAGGGAATCGAACCCATGCATTCGGTGTGACGAGCGAACGCTTTAACCGCAACCTTGCAATTACTCGAGTCTAGTTTGGATGGGCTGACTAGAAATGTGTCATCTTGAAAACAACAATGAAATGGTTTCATGTTCAACCAATCAATATTCGTTCAGGGTCTCCCTTGTTATAAAACCAAAGCTTGGACCACGCCCTTGTATATTTTCAGCGTTTGACTTCGAACATACATCAAGGTATAGGACATTTATTCAAATAAATTTGTCACAACAACTAATCATACTTAATGTTTTAAAGACAGGTTCCGGTGTATTGCATGACTTCCTGTGAAACGGTAAACGTCAGATGTGTAGAATGATAAAGGACTCAATGTTCCGTTACATAAAGCTTGTTGTGATTCACTTACCATATAAAATAAAGATATCACTTGTGCCAGAATCCCTGAATCTCTTTTTATTGAGACATCATTATGTCTGTTGCTTAACGTCACACTCAGCAATATTTCAGCTGTATAGCGGCAATTTGTACATAATCGAGTATGGACCAGACAATCCAATGATTGACTTCATGAGCATCGATCGGCAATGACATCCATCAACCAAGTCAGCAAGCCTGACCACCCGATCCCATCAGTCGCATGTGTTGCTGAAGACCAATTCTAACCCGAAGCTTCACGGGTATGCCATAATGAAGATATAGGTATGAGAAGATACGTCTTAAGAGGAAGGATACAGTAAGAACTGGAACTCACCTGTCGTGTTTGTAAGTTGAGCGACACCATGATGGACACAGCTGAAGAGGCCCACTAACGCTAGAAGAAGACATTTTACAAAGATGATGATGATGATGATGATGATTTTGACATATTGATGATGATGGTGCTGCTGCTGCTGATGATGATAATGATGACAAATATTGATGATGATAGTGCTGCTGCTGCTGATGATGATGATGATGGTGCTGCTGCTGATGATGATGATCATGACTTATTTAATGCATTATTTAATATCCTCAAGTATTTCCTATTGAATGAAAAGGGATTCCTTGAAATATATCATGCACACAATACTATTACAATTCGTTCAAAGTAGATACATTTTATGGATAACAACTTCATTTATTACTTTTAAAGCGACGGTATAGATCCCAAGATTGCTTAGCAACGGTATAAGGATCCATACCGAAACGTTGCTTTTACAGTAATTAAAGAAGTTTTTATCCATAAATTGTGTCTTCTTTGTCATCCATCAAGTTCTGAGTAATGCCTATCAAACAATTTAAGTACATTCAAGTATAATAATGCATTAAAATAAGAAAACACCTGTGGCTACATATAGCCAGTTAGTTACTAATACTATAGCCTCAGAAATCATTTGGAACAATAAAAATATTCGAATAGATAATAAAGAAGTTCACTATCCAAATTGGAGCGAAAGTGGTGTACACTATGTCAATGACCTTTTGTGCAAAAACGGAAACTTTCTATCATATGAACAGTTTAAAGACAAATACAATGTGAACACCAACCTTATAGATATAGAGGAATAATAAGCGCACTAAAACAGTATTGCTCAATACACTTTGTCGACTTTAAGAACATGTAGACCTTTCAAAAGCCATTCATACCTACATATCTGTCTGAACTACTGAATGGCAATAGCCAGTCATACTACAGACCTTGATGAAACAATGTAATGTCAATAACCAACATTTGCAAAATTGAACCATATTTTAGAAAACGATCTCGATTTAAGCGTGTGGCATACTTATAATCATATACCATTCCGATGCACAAAAGATACTGAACTACAATGGTTCCAGTATAAAGTAGTACCAACAAACAGAAGACTTTTTAAAATGCGACTAGTTGATTCGGATACATGTAGTTTTTGTTCAAATAGTATAGAATCTGTTTCCCATGCACTGGCAGACTGTAGCAAAGTGAAACCCATATGGCAAAAACTGGAAGAGTGGCTATCAGACGAGATTCAAGTTAAGCTCACATTAACAAGAAAAAACATTCTGCTTGGATTTGATCAGCGACACAACGATCCTATAAATGTAATTATCTTACTTTGCAAATTCGTAATTTTTAAATATAGATATTCAAAAAAGGTACCGAACTTCCAGTTTTTAAAAAAAGATATTTACAAATATTACATGCTTACAAAATACACAGCTCTCATAAGTAATAGTATCGATAAAATTCTACAAATATTGGTCATCTTGTCATCTTTTGTTTCCCACACAATAGTTCCGTCCTCAACTTTTGTTTACTGCCTATGTATTACATTGTATAGCCCATGTGTAAAAATGCAACCGAAATAAAAAGTTATAAAAATATATATATATATGATAATAAAAAATATGCAATAAGATACATGTGAGAAAAATAGAGTCTTAACGTTTAACTAAGTCCATCACTCCCAAGACAGCCACAGTATACGGTATATAAACACAAGAATATTAAAACATATGTTACGAAATATGAGAGTAACGAAATATTCCATTAGAAAAAGACACCTTAATAAGTAACAACATATCCCTGTACCTCTTCAATATCAAGATCATCAATAAACCAATAATTCTTCAAACAGGTACTTACAAAAGACATAGTTCAGAAGCATATTTCCAGACTGATAAACAAGAACCAGTCTCTGAAATGGTTGCCCTGGGCAAAAGAATGTGTCTCTCAATAACGACCTGGCACGACCCACATAGAAACTGGGATCGACTCGAAATTAGGTGTGATAAGAAATCAAATGTCCTCATATCAGTAAGTGGATGAATGACATTGATGACCTCGGGACGTGAGAATACAGACTGTTGAATGTTCCCACAGAATGGTTTACAAATTGGTATGAAGAATATATATTTTCAACGGTTAATTGAAGACATACAAGCAATAAAAATTGTTTTTGTGAGAAGGTACTGCGTAGGAGAGAAAAGCTTCACATCTAAAAATGTTGTCATCCCAACTGGTAGGAGGCTGCGCGATATTTTGGACCATAATTTAATAACTGTAAATTGGTATGAAGAATATATATTTTCAACGGTTTATTGAAGACATACAAGCAATAAAAATTGCTTTTGTGAGAAAGTTTTGTGTAGAAGGGAATAGCTTCACATCTAAAAACGTTGTCATCCCAACTGATAGGAGGCTGAGCACGATATTTTGGACCATAATTGAATAACTGTTGAAGGTTGTTAATGTCAGCAATAGAGTGAGTGAGTTAGGTTAAACGCCTCTTTTAACAGTATTCCAGTTATATCGCGCCGTGTCAGCTTAATGTGGGAGGAAAGCCAGAAGTGATGCAGGTCTCAGACGTTTACCATTTTGGTGAAATCCACGAGCGCGGGTATGGTGCTGACAAACCTAGAAACATATTCGGGGCGAACCGGGATTCGAACCCACAATGATAGGTTTCTGGCGTGCCCAAGGGACGCAACTCTGCACAGCGAATGGCGGCGCCTTAGACGATTGGGCCACCCGTGCCCCCTCCAATAGGTATGATGAGTTTTCGTTGCGACAAGTAGTGGGATTAACATCATTATTTTTAAGGAATGGAGAGTTACGAGGATATTCCCCTACTTAAAACTCATCCCTACATTTACACTTTGACAAAATATTCTGTTGTGGAAAATATTTGAAAAATAAACCAGAACTCTTTGTTGTCTGTATTTACACTGCGTGAGTCGCCCTTGCGTGATGCACGAGGAATGAGTTCTCTGCCGCTGTTGCACGTGCGCCAAGCTCCGTCGCGAGCTGGCATTTACAATCCATGGTACACGGCTCTTCATAATTTTGTTAGGTCCTGAACTAGTATTTATCAATCGCGTGCACATTGTTAATACATGCTAGCGGGAATACTAGGAAATATAGAGCCCCGAACAAGGAGATATATATTACCTGATTTGTTTTTTCTCGTCAAAGGTTTGTCTTACTGCTATAAACATGAACATTGTTGTAGGTAACCTGCTCTGACACAAAATATATACATATTATTTTGAACTTTTAAGCATTATGCAAAATTCTGAAAATATTTTATAGTTAATTTCACACCATACCGTCATGTGCCGTTGGCAGTTGGTTCGATGCCAACGTCTTTTATTTTGTCAATACATCCTTATTTCTCTGGACATCCAAAAAGGGCGACACCATGTAAGACTATGAGATGGATGGTATATTTTCTCTTATGTCCTAACTGTCATGCAGAAGGCTTGAGTGGTTTTCAGAACTGGAATGTTGGTTGACACAATTGGAAGTATTTCTCTTGACGCCGGGGCGGTCGGGTAGGCTAGTGGTTAAAGCGTTCGCTCGTCACGCCGAAGACCCGGGTTCGATTCCCGACATGGGTACAATGTGTGAAGCCCATTTCTGGTGTCTCCGCCGTGATATTGCTGGAATATTGCTAAAAGCGGCGTAAAACCATACTCACTCACTCACTTAGCAGGAGATATGACGGCGTGGCGCACGCAAGTTCATCCAACCTTCCTAAAACTTCACGTCTACATGTTTTTCATTCGTTGATATTCTAAACATTAAAACATATTCCAATTTGTATTTTGAGAGGTTTCCGAGATAGTGATATTGAAATCAAGATTTCGACAAAGAATAACATTATTCTAAAGATATAGCCAAGTTAAAAATAAATCTAATCATTCATGAACAAATGAAGTTGCCTTTTTATCTGATAAATGAACCAGAATAGATATTATCTCCGTTGTGTTGTCAGAACAGGTACAAATATGTTAGGCATGACATATATTTTTCGGAGTACATTTCAAACAGATATGGGGCCGGTGGGATAGCCGAGCGGTTAAAGCGTTCGCTCGTCACGCCGAAGGCCCGGGGTTTGATTCCCAACATAGGTGCAATGTGTGAAACCTTCTGATGTCGTGATATTTTTGGAATATTGCTTTAAAAAAACATAGAAACTCACTCACTTTATTAAACTTGGTTATTCTCACCAACAAGGCCTTTTAAATTATTATTATTATTATTATTATTATTATTATCATTATTATTATTATCATACGACTCTTGCTTCAAAGTTACAACATTCAAGGCCAGGGTAAAGCTTTCAAAACGTTTCATGGTAGACATGTGGACTTATCGGTGACAGATTTGACTCAGGGCTATATGGCTAGACAAACCAGTGATTGATATTATGAGCATCATCAAATGCCTTCGGGGATTTCCCGAGATTGGAAGGTCGGTGGTTCGATCCCTGGCCGCGTCATACCAATCATCAACCAAACTGATGCTACGCAATCCACCGAGGTTGACCACTCAATCCACTTTTGTCGCTTTTTCACTACGAGCGATGCTGAACGCAAAAGTGATATAACATTTTCACAAATAGTGGCGTTACAAAACTTTCAATCTCATTAAAATCAGATCTTAGTTCTCGCTATCGCTAAACAAAGATCTGAGGACATCCCACTACGGGTCACGTCAGAACAACCTTTCATCCGACCAATCAGAGCGTCGCTTACCAGATCATGAAAGTGACAGTCTTTTAAATTTTTTAATCGAGAACACGTCAAAATATGTTTCGAAGCGTAGTTGCCAGTTTGAAACTAGTGTCGTAAAGCTCGAGAAAGCTGCCTTCTGATTGGCTAATGTCGATTTCTTGTCAGTCAAAATTCGAGAAAAGGTCGTTCTTACGTGACCCGTAATGGTATGTACTCATAGTATGTACTCAGATCTTTGTTTAGCGGTAGCGAAAACTAAGATCTGATTTTAATGAGATTCCAAAACTTTATACGTATATCTTACTTCGGGTGGAAAGAATTTGATTTCACACATGTTATCGTACACTGATAAGTAATATAGGCTAGCATGTTAGAAAATCCATTCGTGACCAACTCGTGTTATTCCGGGACAAGCCGAATAGAGACTCGTGCCCCTCTCGTGGCCATTTTTGCAACCGGGTTCCGTCTTTGCGCAAACGGGCATACCTAAAACGATTGTCAACTCGTTGTGTAATGGTTCACACATATTTCCCCGTATATTATATATATTTTAGATACAATTTAAAGCAGATCTGGACATGCGGAATAATACAGTATGTTTGAACACATTTAACTGTGTCTTGGGTTGACAAATAACTTGAATTCATACGCGCATTCTGATTGGTTTGTCGTATTTTGCACATAACATTTATCGATAGGGGGACGAGTCTTCTTGCAGGTTACGGAAAGGGGCGAGTGGTGACGAATGTAGAAAATCATGACGCTATATTTTCCGTAGTGTTCGTGACTATTCGTGTCATCCCGGAACAAGCCGCATGACAACTCGGATACATACGTTACCACTCGCCTTATTCCGATAAACCGACTGCCTTATTGTGCATACAGGTTACGGAAAGGAGCGATAGGGGACGAATTAGTCCGTAGGTGCGGCGTACTCTCGAAAGGTCAAAATCCTTAAATAAAATCTTATCTGATCTTGAGGTTAAACCTGCTTGGGAAGCAATGTTGGAGGTCCATGAATGCTCACAGTAGTTCGTGAAATAGGACGGCGTATTTCATAATATGACCAACTCTTACAGTGTCATCTGAACCCTGCTCGTGGGTTTCACCGAAGTGGTAAACGTCTGAGACCTGCATCACTTCGGGCTTTCCTCCCACATAAAGCTGACACGCCGTGATATAACTGGAATGTTGTTAAAAGCGGCGTTAAACCCAACTCACTCACTCTCTTACTCACTGAACCCTGGGTTCAAATAGAGGACGTCTTCACAATGCCTCATAATAGTATATTCCCCAGGAAGAGGAGAATAAAAATCACACTGATCAATTGACTTGGGTAATAATATAGCTCTTTGAACATCCTTTTGAGTGTGAATGTGGCGTAGTTTATTATTTTTATTGATGATAACATGTGTCAGTTTATTTGTATTGTGATAACATTAAACTGTTTGACGCGACTTTTAGTAATATGCCAGTCATATGACGGGCAGTGACACTAAAAATGAGCTTCACGCATTGTAATTATGGTAGCAATCGAATACGTGTCTTCATAGCCTTGCTCCAAGGATGTAGTTGATGATAAGTCCATGTGTGTACAGTAATTATATCCTTAAAATAGGCAAGTCTAGATAAGCGGACGGTACAGGGTGCCAGTATTTTATGTGGACCACTTGTTCGTATTATTTATATAATCTTAAAATTATGAGTTAAATAAATATTTTTCCCTTAGAGACTTGTGCAAGTCTGATGTCTTCAGTGTGACGCGAGTTACGCTACAACAACTCGGCTACTCCACCAACCGCCCCCTTGGACGTTTCACACAGCCTTCGCCGTGGCCAAGTGTCTGTCCGGCGACGCGGGAGGTCAGTGGTTCTATCGTTAAAAGACCTTAAAATATGGTACTTGTTACCCTATCTTGCGCTCGACTTTAAGGATAAAACAAGGAGTCGGAGTCGGTATTATGTGTCTGAAAGGGGTATTCGTGTTCAACTGATGTGGGATACAACTGTGAAACCTGCTAAAGTCTGGACAAGTACCAGCAGCGTGGTACGTCCAGAACATATAACACGTCACGAGGACATTATAAATCAAGATGACATCATATGACACGATGACATAATACGTCATAAGTACATGGTGCGTCACGAGTACATGATAAGAGGGCATGACACGTCAAGAATGAGTGAGTTAAAATTTGAAATTTAACGTCGCATTATTTCGGCATTATTTCAGCAACATGGCGACATGAAACGTCAAGAGGACACAACAGGTCATGGGACACGATACATCTAGAAGACATGATACGTCACGAAGACACAAGACGTCAAGAGGACATTATACGTCACGAAGACACAATACGTCAAGAGGACATGATACGCCACGAAGACACAATACGTCAAGAGGACATGATACGTCACGAAGACAACACGTCAAGAGGACATTATGTGTCACGAGGACATAATACGTCAAGAGGACAGTATACGTCAAGAGGACATTATACGTCACGAAGACACATTACGTCAAGAGGACATAATGCGTAACGAGGACATAATACGCCAAGAGGACATGATACGTCACGAAGACACAATACGTCACGAGTGTATAATGCCTCACAAGGACATAATACGTCAAGAGGACATGATACGTCACGAAGACAAAATACGCCAAGAGGGTATAATGCCTCACAAGGACATGATACGTCAAGAGGACATGATACGCCACAAAGATACAATACGTCAAAAGGACATATCCTTCACGAGGACATAATACGTCAATAGAACATGCTACGTGACAAGGACAACATACGTCAAGAGGACATGATACGCCACTAAGACACAATACGTCAAGAGGACATGATACGTCACGAAGACACAATACGTCAAGAGGACATAATGTGTCACGAGGACATAATACGTCAAGAGGACATTATACGTCAAGAGGACATTATACGTCACGAAGACACATTACGTCAAGAGGACATAATGCGTGACGAGGACATAAAACGTCAAGAGGACATGATACGTCACGAAAACACTACGTCAAGAGGACGTGATACGTCATGGGGACATGAGACGTCACGAGGACACAATACGTTATGAGGACATGATACGTCACGAGGACACAAAAGGTCAGGAGGACATAATGCCTCACAAGGCCATAATACGTCAAGAGGACATGATACGTCACGAAGACACAATACGTCAAGAGGATATAAAGTGTCACGAGGACACAATACGTCAAGAGGACATGATACGCCACAAAGATACAATACGCCAAGAGGATATAATGCGCCACGAGGACATAATACGTCAAGAGCACATGATACGCCACAAAAATGCGTCACGAGGACATAAAACGTCAAGAGGACATAATGCCCCCCAAGGACATAATACGTCAAGAGGACATGATACGCCACAAAGATACAATACGCCAAGAGGATATAATGCGCCACGAGGACATAATACGTCAATAGCACATGATACGCCACAAAGATACCTTACGTTAAAAGGACACACGCGTCACGAGGACATAAAACGTCAAGAGGACATAATGCCCCACAAGGACATAAACCGTCAAGAGGACATGATACGTCACGAAGACACAAAACGTCAAGAGGATATAATGCGCCACGAGGACATAATACGTCAAGACCACATGATACGCCACAAAGATACAATACGTCAAAAGGACATATGCGTCACGAAGACATAATACGTCAATAGAACATGCTACGCGACGAGGACACAATACGCCAAGAAGACATGATACGTCATGAAGACACAATACCTCAAGAGGATACAATGCGTCACGAGGACATAATACGTCAAGAGGACATGATACGCCACAAAGATACAATACGTCAAAAGGACATGTGCGTCACGAGGACATAATACGTTTATAGAACATGCTACGTGACGAGGACACAATAAGCGAAGAAGACATGATACGTGACGAGGACATAATACGTCAAGACGACGTGATACGTCATGGGGACATGAGTCGTCACGAGGACACATTACGTCAAGAAGACATGATACGCCACGAGGAAACAATACATCACGAGGACACAATACGTCAAGAAGACATGATACGTCACGAGGACACAATACGCCAATAGTACATGATACGTCATGATGACAAACTTCCACAGGACGTACACATAGACGTCCAAAATAGTACATGTTCGTCAAGTAACGAAGAGTTTCGTATCATTTATGTAATAAATCAAATTATATGGTTATATGCATGATATTATTCATTGATACACGTCTTTAACACCAGACAGCAAGACTCCAGCTAATTGACGGCAGCCTGTACATAATTGAGTTTGGACAAACGAGTGACAGAAAGAATGAGCAACCGCCCACGCCCATCAGGACACGGTGACATGCAACTGACCAAGTCACCGAGCCTGACCAGTAGACCCATTTAGCTGACCATTACGACAAGCATAAGCTACTGGGGACATATTCTGCACTAGAATCACCACGCGTGTGAACTCATAAAGATCCGGTTTGGAATAGGTCTTCAGCAACCAATGTTTGCCGTAAAAGACGACTGGGCTTGTCGTAAGAGGCGACTAACGGGATTGGGTGGTCAGACTCACTGACTTGGTTGATGCATGTCATGGTATCTCAATTGTGTGGATCGATGCTTATGATGTCAATCACTGGATTGTCTGATCCAGACTCGATTATTTACAGACCACCGTCATAAAGCTGTAATATTGCTGAGTGCAAATACACCAAACCAAACCACGCGTGTCTAGATCACAGAAATATTCAATAATCTCCATAAAGCGAACACTGACTTGCATACGTTGCCATGGAAACAAAGAGTCTCAGATCGTGTTTCTGCACACTCGAAATTCATTTATCTGAAAGGTTTGATATAGTTTATTGAATATTTCTATGATCTAGACACGCTTGGTTTGGTGAATTTCACCTCTTTATACACATAAAGCATATGTAACACAAATATCGATTTGTTTTATGTGAATAAGAATTAAGTTTACTATCAATATCGATTTTTTCGTGAATTAGTTCACATTAAGAAAAGTACATCTATTTACATGTTATATCGGGCCCGTGAAGATCCGGGGTAGAATAGGTCTTCAGCAACCCATGCTTGCCGTAAAAGGCGAATATGCTTATTTGTTCTTTAACGCCGCACTCAGCAATATTCCAGCTATATTACGGCGGCCTGTAAATGATTGAATCTGTACCAGACAATCCAGTGATTGACATCATGAGCATCGATCAACGCTATTAGGATACGATTACATGCGTCAGCCAAGTCAGCGAGCCTTACCACCCGATCCCGTTAGTCGCCTCTTACAACACGCATGGGTTGCTGAAGACCTATTCTACCCCCGATCTTCACGGGTACCCTGTCAATGAACGAACGTGTAAACTCTACGACATGAGCGATGTTGGTGATGAATTCCATTACATTTTTCTGTCCTTTTTTGAGGGTGGGGTGAAATGGGGTTTTAACGTCGCGTCCAAGATTATTGCACTTGTATAGCGACGTGCATGTACGTGTGTGTGTTTGTGTGGCTGCTTGTACTAGTCCGGACTGATGCCGATTTCTAGTGCTAGCTCACTGAGATACCATGCCGCAGTTTAACATGAATACCCCAATCAGACACAGTTTTCTGCCTCCGAGCCGACCAGTCCTTGTTTTAGCCCCTTAATGCCGAGCGCCAGACAGGGTAACAACAAGTACCATCTTTCAAAATCTTTTGGTATGACGCGGTCGGGGATCGAACCCCGGACCTTCCGCTCTCCGGGCGGACGCTCTACCACTAGACCACGGAGGCGGTCGCTCCTTTTTTGAAACACAAACGGAATATATGTGTTCAAAATTCCTGTTAAAAACCAAAATATGCTTAAATTGAAATAACTCTTTAATTGCAAACAAAATAGTGATATAAAAGCAATCTGTACATTCAGTAATGTCATCATGAAAACTAAAATCTTCCACGTAAAACATCCCGCCATCTTATGTATATATTGTTTGTAAATTTGTTCCTTGTATGTCCAGTATCCCGGCCTGAGTGTAAAGAAAGTTCAGCTCTGTTCTAATAAATAACGATTGCAATACTATCGTATACTACAGGTTCAATAAAACTTGATTATCAACAGAGTCGCTTGCCATAGAAATGTCTTCTGTGTCGACTTCTGAAGATAAAACTGAAACATGGAGATGACCACTTCGTGTTGTGTGATTATTTTGGGAATATCTTTATAAATATATATATATATATATATATATATATATATCTAGAGAGAGGGAGTGAGTGAGTGAGTTGGGTTTAACACCGCTTTTAACAGTATTCCAGTTGTATCACGGCGTGTCAGCTTAATGTGGGAGGAAAGCTCGAAGTGATGCAGGTCTCAGACGTTTACCACTTCGGTGAAACCCACGAGCACGGGTATGGTGCTGACAAACCTAGAAACATAATCGGGGCGAACCGGGATTCGAACCCACAATCATAGGTTTCTGGCGTGCCCAAGGGACGCAACTCTGCACAGCGAATCGCGGCGCCTAAGACGACTGGGCCACCCGTGCCCCCATATCTAGAGAGAGAGAGAGAGAGAAAGAAAGAAAGAGAGATATATATAGACATAAGGTTTATATAACCCAGCTGTATACACATAAGGTCTATATACCAAAAGGCCTGTACACATAAGGCCTATTAACACAGGCCGTTTGACACAAGGCCTATGCAACATAGGCATATACACTTAAGGTCTATATAACATAGCTGTATACACACAAGGTCTATTTAACAGAGGCCTATACACATAAGACCTATATAACATAGGCCCATACACATCTATGTAACACAGACCTTCAGAGCACATGTCCAGCATGGTCAGAGAACAATTTGTTTGTAATTGTTATGGGGTTTTTTCAGTAAATTCTGGAACAAATTTCTTTTTGTCGGCCCTTGGTCATGTCTAATAGAAACTGGTATTGTCATTCCAAACAGGTTCCCAAGAAGGCCCGTTAGGTTCACCGTCGTCAAAGTCGTACTCCATCACACCAGACAACAACTTCGCCTCCTTTGTCGTAGCAACTTCCGGAAGACTGTCGCCGATCGGAGATTTAATTTCACGATGATTGAAAGGATCGCACTTGTCAAAAATATTGATTCCTTGAGATGGCCAATGTGATGTCATCATCATATGTTTGTAAGCTATGAGTTTTGAGGGAACATCATCGGCCCGAGCCCACTTGGCCGGCGTCATGCACACGAACACCACAAAGCGCCATCTGTCGGAATTGGGGCGGCCTTTCTCCGGTCTGCAATTGTCATGCACTGTCCGAGAATCCCAAAGGACCATCCCTCCTTTCGGAACAGGAACCTTTGTGGTAACGCAGCCCTTTCCTCGGAACCAAGATTTGTAGTCTTCATTTAAGTTATAATAATCGACTCTGTTGCCGTTCCTGGCGGAGTCTTCGAATTCTTCAAAGAAAGCGTTGAAATATTTATGCGATCCCGACAAAACCCTGAAGCAGAAGTCAGTTTCAGTCGCCTCCTCCAAATACAGAGCGCCTTGGTAACCATGGAGACCAATTCTTTTTGCCGGTTGGTCAACGTGTAACCATGCTTTCCCGGTATCATAAATTCCGAATTTTTCAGTTTCCGGTGGGAAAGATATGGCTACACCGTCAAAGCTTGTTAGGAGCTTCTCAGTCTCCCAGACTTTAGCAAAAACTGGTTTGGCTTTAAAGCGGCAGTTCCAGGTGTTTTCGAAATGACCAATATCATATCCCTGAACGACTGAGTGCAGGTGAGATGGCCCATCCTCCTTCTCGAACTGGGACAGCCAATCACGGTACTCGGATATGTACACGTCACAGTCCTGCGCACTGCAAACATCCGGTATCACGGCATACCCTTTCTCCTGAAGATCTTTCATAACTGAGTCTCTGGTGATGAAGACAAAAATGAAATGTGTTACTGTCAAGACCAAACAAATGCAAGAGTCATCAGCCGTATATAATGAGATATATGTAAATAATGTATTGCTCTTTCAAAAAAAATTCATTTGCGTTAGTCGGTCAGTCTTGTCCGGTTTGGTTGTCGCTATATCCCGGCCTATTTAATTACCAACATAACAAGGATTGACGTGAGCTGGGTGTTACTACAGGGCTTATTGTAACCCTACCCCTTCTTTCAGGGTAGAGACCGCCTCCGTGGTCAAGTGGTATAGCGTCCGCTCGGAGAGCGGAAGGTCCGGGGTTCGATCCCCGACCGCGTCATATCAAAAGACGTTAAAAGATGGTACTTGTTGTTACCCTGTCTGGCGCTCGGCATTAAGGGGCTAAAACAAGAACTGGTCGGCTCGGAGGCAGTATACTGTGTCTGAGTAGGGTATCCATGTTAAACTGCGGCATGGTATCTCAGTGTGCTAGCACTATAAATCGGCATCAGTCCGGACTAATACAAGCAGCCACACACACACACACACACGACGCTATATAAGTGCAATAATCTTGGACGCGACGTTAAACCCCATTTCACCTCACCTCACCTTTCAGGGTAGAGAGCCTCAGTGTCTTTAGTGTCGACTAAAGTGGGAGACACGAGCATCCATCTCGTGACCTGGGTGGCTGGTTGTCATTGCTTGAGTCGTTGCTGCTAACTTCTCAATGTCGCAGTTTGTATATCGGATAAAGTTTTTTTAAATACACGAAGATAGCCTATCCAAAAGAATTATGACGCCGTGGCCTACTTTAGTTAGAGAAGTGTAGATTTATGCACCTCAAGTGACTTCGTCCTATTATTTTGAGCATATGTATTGTAGCTTGTTATCTCCCTTGGTCTGCAGACCATGTAATCGTATCCTTCTGGGCATTGATATATGAAGATCAACAAGGATATAATAAGGATTAAATAACATGTTTAATAACCAAACCAACGCAGAACCAATCAGATCACATACTAATGTGTTTTTCTCAATATTTCTTCAAACAATATTAGATAAAATGGCAGTGGTATATTATTTTTTATATACCGAAGAAGTTTATTCGGTATCAAAGGCCGCATGGCCAAGAGTTCAATACATGAGATTAACTTTAGCACATGGATAGGTGGGACACCTATTATACTGTCTCAATACAATATGTATCTCTCTCTCTCTCTCTCTCTCTCTCTCTCTCTCTCTCTCTCTCTCTCTCTCTCTCTCTGCGTGTGTGACATTTGGATTGGTTTTCAAAGCAACATGACATAACTTTAGGAGAGGGCGAAGAGAGAAGAGGTTGGTCGGTCCTGGCGAGAGGACTGACGAGGTTGGTCGTTGGTCGGTCCTGGTGGGAGGACTGACGTGGTTGGTCGTTGGTCGGTCCTGGCGGGAGGACAGACGAGGTTGGTCGTTGGTCGGTCCTTGGCGGGAGGACTGACGAGGTTGGTCGTTGGTCGGTCCTGGCGGGAGGACAGACGAGGTTGGTCGGTCCTGGCGGGAGGACTGACGAGGTTGGTCGGTCTGGGGTGAAGACAGACGACGTTGGTCGGTCTGGATGGGGGTGGGGGAGGAGGACAGATGAGGTTGGTCAGTCGGGGGGGGGGGGGGGGGGGAACAGACGAGGTTGGTCAGTCTGGGGGGAGGTCGGGAAATCTGAGTGGTAGGGGTCTGAAGAACGAAGGAATTGCGAGGATTCATGACATAAGCATTGACGATTAATACTTCTTGTGTGTTGAATATACACGCGGGATGTACCTGATAATTTGGTTGAAAATATATCAATAAATATAATTTGGATTGTAGACGAGTCTATGTGTATCAATTTGAACGTACCTGTCAAAACACGCCCCTCCTTTCATATTAGCAGCCATGCCTGACGTGTCGTCTGCTCTCTCCAGAATGAAATATCGTGACTCGTTATCTTTAAACGTGACAACGTATTCCAATGACTTCAGAGCAGTCAGAAACCTCTAAGGTTTATATCTAGGACTGTATTCTGAAATTGGTTGCTCCGGTATTCGCTAAAACCTCGCTGCTTGTTGGAGTTTCCATTTGGATAAAAATAGGAAAATACTCATCCAAGGTGTGTTCGAGCGAATGTTTGGTGTATGTTTTACTAACGTGTTCTTTTAACCGGCACACTGTGTTCTTGAAGTGAGTTTGAGGAAGTGGGTACAACAGTACGATGTGTTTATGTACAGCTACCGAAATTAAAAATAAACACCAAAACATACCGAGTATATTATTCATATCCACTAATCAGATTAACGTTAGTGTTGTTTTGAAACGTTCAGTTAGATAACAGACTTTATCTTCCATAATTTCTGAAGGCACAGGAGCGGTGGGGTAGCCTAGTGTTTAAAACGTTCGCTCGTCACGCCGAAGAACCGGGTTCGATGCCCGACATGGGTAAAATGTGTGAAGCCCATTTCTGGTGTCCCCCGCCGTGATATTGCTGGAATATTGCTAAAAGCAGCGTTAAATCAAATTCACTCACACTCACACACACTATGAAGGCATACTCGCCATGAATGAGAATAATATTTATAAATTCCTGTGAGATACCAAGGCAGAACGGATCCCCAGTACCCTTTCCTTTTATATGTTTGCCTGGTCAAGACTCGTTTATTTACGGGGGTACGGGTGGCCCAGTCGTCTAAGACGCCGCGATACGCTGTGCAGAGTTGCGTCCCTTGGGCACGCCAGAAATCTATGATTGTGGGTTCGAACCCCGGTTCGCCCCGATTATGTTTCTAGGTTTGTCAGCACCATACCCGTGCTCGTGGGTTTCACCGAAGTGGTAAACGTCTGAGACCTGCATCACTTCGGGCTTTCCTCCCACATTAAGCTGACACGACGCAATATAAGTGTAATACTCTCTCACTCACTCTCTCACTCATACACACAAACAATAGTTTCAAGTCGATATAACTTTACTAAAATTTTCAATCAATGACATTAAGCTGACACGCCGTGATATAACTGGAATACTGTTAAAATCGGCGTTAAACCCAACTCACTCACTCACTCACTCGTTTATTTACAGGCTATCAGGATATAAATGGAAAGTTGCATGTTAAAACAACATTCACCTACTTATGACTTGAGTTTATGTCGTTTGCATGACTGGCTTCATGTGCCCGTTCAAAAACAGAAACACGAAACGCATCGCACAACACGCATTCGTACGCACTGCTTCTCAACTGAACCCGGAAGTGCATCGAACTTCCGTGTTGTGACAGCACACAGCGTGCAGTGAGACTGGATTGTTTGCGGTACAGCAGAACCTGAAGAAACTTTCCTTCTTTATCAATCTTGGGAGTAGTGCACTTTACCGAGAACGGGTGTTTGATTGTAAAGATGTGTAAGTTTCCCTAAGACCGAAAACGGGTGTTCGATCGTGAAGCGAGAGTCACCAGAGCGTGAGGCACGGTAACGGTATAACGAGACAGCGGTCTATAGCGCGGTAATTGAGCGGATGGTAGAGCTCGGGCTGCGCCCGGTAAACTGCATTGTTGCCTCAATCTGTAAACTATCATTATTTTATGCAAAACTAAGAGGAAATAAATCAAAATGTTTGTAAAACGTTCGTGTATTTTGTAAGCAAGTGTGGAATTTTAAGGAATTTTATTCCCGGTATCACCTTCCACTTTGCCATTGTCTCATGGAAAATAAACACTGGGCATTCAAATAGGAAGTGTTCCTTCTCGTTAGCAGTGTGTCATAACTCCCGTATAGCAACGTATATATCAAGTTCCATACCAACTACTTCTCGTGCACTCCCTGTTTCCTTCAGCGTTTTCAGTTGTGGTGTATTTGGATGGGCTAAATATGGACACGGTAACTTTCTAAATATCCAGTATAACATTAAATTCAAAATTCAAATTCTAATCCAGGCTGGTAATGTTCATATTCATTACATTAAATATGGTTAAATGTCAGTGGTTTTCATTCCCCATCGGATAGTTTGAAAGAGGACGAGAAAGTGATGTGTCCCCCCCACACAAGATGATTGATCAATATCAGTATTGTATATTCATAAAAATTATACTGAATTCGTTTTTGTTTTGTTTGCAGGTCTTACCAGTTGGAACTGGTGTTTATATTGGTGTTCATGTTAGGTTCAGATAAAGTATCATTTTTTTTAATCAATAAACTGGAATTTAGTTTTGCATTTTTGGTATGCATTAGAAGTATTGTATACAGGCTACTAGTATGGCTCCTTGTAATTCTATACTCATTGTGGGCAAGTCTAGATGAATCCAACGTCAAAATGTTCTTACTCTTTACATAATCTAGAAATTATTATTTAAAACTAATAAGTTTTGCCTTCGAGACTTGTGCAAATGTAACAGGCTACCCATTGCACAGGTTAGGCAAATTAAACAGTACAAATGTCTCAGTTGGTTTATAAGACATCAATAGTTTATGTAAGTGTTTGGGACATCCCGTGAAAACGTAAACAAAGTAAAGTGTGGCAGCAGTGAGGTAGTTGTTTTAATGCTGCTATAAGCATAATGCCAGTCACATCACTGTAGAGGGCACCAAGTGTACACATTTGCATGTGGCAGACCTGTCAACCCCTCATCATGACAATGTGGGAGATTTGAATTCAAAATGGGGGAGATTTGCCTCCAAAGGGGGAGATTTTTAAAATAGTGAAGACAAGATAATTTCCAACTTTTATTTTTAATAATGTTACTAAGAAAACCAAATATTTATATTGTAGGTGGGGTGAAGTCACATGCAAATGCTAGTACCAGTCAGCAGGACCTGTGCCCTACATCTGTGTATATTATTAGTTTTACACTCACATCTATACATAGGATGTGAAGCACATGTATTACCATGAATAGAACACCTTCTTTACATCAAATTATACATGCATTTTGTCTGCTGTTAAATTGTGTGTTCAAATCTGAAGAAAGAAGAGGATACTCCTATGTAGGAACTAAATAATGTTTGTGTAAGCTTCACATTGGCTTTTAGTTTGTGACACACGATTGGACATTCATGCAATGATAACTTAATACAAGAAAGAAGTGTATGTAGTGTATTACAACCATGTGTCCCAATAACCTCAAATGTCACCTTGAACATTGACATATATAGCACTAACATTTAATGTGGCAGTATTTGTAAAGATGTACATATATAGTTTCATGTCTACAGAGAAATAATAAAGAAGGCATATACAATTTTGATAAATGCATGAATACCCCCTACTTGCAAAGCGTAACCACAAATGTGTTTGTCTTGTGTCATTTACCAATTTTTACCAAAACAACTCCCCAGGAACATTTTGAAAAAATCCTGTGAAGAATAATCCCCCAAGTAATTAATCTTTGTGTAGTGGTTTAATAGTTACTTTCATACAACCACTTGTATTACCTTCCATGTTCGTATTAAGTGTCCATGTTCTTTACCAGTAAATAATCGTTTTAGAAAATGGTCAAAAGAAACACAATATGTAAAAATGTGAGACATTATTATTACAGGTCACAGACACACCAACTGATGATGAGGGTTACTTTTAGGAATCTAAACTGACACATAACAATATGAAAATGTACAGCATAATGTCACACATCAGACATTGTACAGCATAATGTCACACATCAGACATTGTACAGCATAATGTCACACATCAGACATTGTACAGCATAATGTCACACATCAGACATTCTGTGCATATATAAAAATTACACATCAACAACTTTCTGAGTTGTGGCAGAAAGCCACAGTTTCCCACGCTTCCCTTGGCAGACATGCATAGAGTTGGTGCAGTCTTCATGATCTACTCAGCAGAACTCAGACAGACTAGAAATGTGGCATCACTTTATTATTCCGATGGTCATTACATGGCGACATCCAATATACACAAATATCAAACCATCTCTCTCAAATAATTGTACATAAATTCTAGAGCTGGGACGAGTCCAAATTTACTACCCGGGGGCCCCACCCCACTATTATTTCAAGAGATACAAAATGTCCGATGTTGATTTTCTTTTACCACAGTACATGCAAAACGTATTTAGATACATGAATTAAACAATCTGGTCATGCATACACTGAAGGTAACTTAAGTTATATATCTTTATTCAACCATATGAAAAGAAATTCGAACATTAGTGACATGTAGTGTAACCATAGAGTTCTAGATAAATTTTGTTATTAAACAATATATCACATGACTAACTAATTCTGCTCACAAGTTAGAAATGGGATTTACTATCAGTAGCCAAAAGAAAATCTTAAGATTCCATTATACATGTATGTCAAGTTTATAGGCGTTATCCCATTTCTGGTCGAGGGGACATGAGTAATAATAAAGTCAAAAATCTCTTAAATTAGAAATATTGACCCATAGCATTCAGGCTTTGCTGACAGGTTTGAAATGTTATTTACTATCAGTAGCCAAAAGAAAATCTTAAGATTCAATTTTATTTGTCGAGTTTATAGGCGTTATCCCATTTCTGGTCGAGGGGACATGAGTAATAATATAGTCAAAAATCTCTTAAAATTAGAAATATTGACCCATAGCATTCATATTCTGCTCTCAAGTTAGAAATGGGATTTACTATCAGTAGTCAAAACAAAATCTTAAGATTCCATTATATGTCAAGTTTATAGGCGTTATCCCATTTCTGGTCGAGGGGACATGAGTAATAATATGGTCAAAAATCTCTTAAAATTAGAAATATTGACCCATAGCATTCAGGCTTTGCTGACAGGTTTGAAATGTTATTTACTATCAGTAGCCAAAAGAAAATCTGAAGATTCCATTATTTGTCGAGTTTATAGGCGTTATCCCATTTCTGGTCGAGGGGACATGAGTAATAATATAGTCAAAAATCTCTTAAAATTAGAAATATTGACCCATAGCATTCATATTCTGCTCTCAAGTTAGAAATGGGATTTACTGACTGTCCGTCTTCATGCGGCCCATTTTTTTTCTCTTGCCCATTTTTTCTGAAATGGGAGAGAGAGTGAATGAAATTGTTCAGTCTAGATGGGGTTTTGCATGGTCAAAGGGATCAGGAGGGGCCTTTGCAACAGCCCATGACTGC